CACAAGGGGGTGGAGGGAGGGGGAGGGCTTCTTAGAAGGCTTAGAAGGCGCTGGCATTACATCTACAAAGAAGGCCCGCGCCTTCTAAGAAGCAGGGGTGCTTCTAAGAAACCCTCCCCCCCTCCCCTCACCCCCCTCTGCGCGTGGCTGAGACAAGCTCTGAGGAAGCCCTCCCCGAAGCCACACCGAGCATCTCGGGAGGCCGGCGGGCTTCTGAGGAGCCCCGCTGCCTTCTGACTACCAACCAGACAACCCCAACCCAACCCGAAGACTCGAGTTTCGGGTTGGAGGGGGGTACGGGTTCCATACGTGTTTTTTCAATGTTCCCCGACCCCCCCCCCACTGGAAATGGAGGGCAACTTGAGGCCTTCGGGTCGGGTTGGGGTGGCTTGGTGGGTGGTGACCTTCTGCTCTGCGGTGACCGGCCCTCCTCCGAGCATCGCGTCGCCCATCCCTGCCCCCGCTGACGTGGCCGGGGTCCCACTGGCTGATCTACCCACCGGGGACAGTTCTGGGCCGTCGCCCCCTCCCGGTCTTGATGTGGCATGTCCCCAGGCTGGGGGGGTGGGATGGTGGGGCTGAGCTACCATGGCCTGGCGGGGAGGGGGATCGGTTGAACGATCCGCCGGGTTCTCTGTGGCGAAGCGCCAGGCGTGTGCGGCCAGCTCAAGGGGAGCAGACCGACGGCGGGCTGGGCGGGTGCTCTGCTGGGGCCGCGCGCGACTCGAGGGGCTTCTGGCACTGGCAGCTCAAGCATTGAGCTGACCGAGTCGTGCTGATCACCCTGTCCACATTTACAACCATCTGGCCCCTCGTCCATATCCCAACGATGTCCTCTGATGCCCACAATTCTCCTATGTGGTCCAAAAGGAACTGGCACTATCCTTGATGGTGTCGCGGCGCTTGACGGTTCGGTTTCGCTACGCATCCTGGTACATAACCGCTGCGGTTGGGACTTGTGTGCTGCTCTTTTTTGCCTCGCGGTCGGGAACCCTTAAATAAATGCAAGGCAGTGCTTGAGCAGGCGAGCCTCCGCAGGACTCTATCCTGCCATGTGGCGCACCAAATTCTTGGCTACCACTTGTGGCTGCCCATCAAAGAAAATGTTTGAGAGCTTGCGACGTATGAACCTCTTGAGACCATTTGTTGAGTACAGAGACAAATCCCTCTGCAGGGCGAGCAAACGCTCGGATCGGCTGGGCGCATCCTTTGAGCAAAAGGTTATGCTCTTAAAAATGAAGTCTGAGCGTCGGGGAAAAGCGCCCAGAGGTGTGGCTGCGGCGGTGAAAGGCGATGCATGGCACATCTGCTGTATTCATCTAGGATTGGGCTGGCTCTGGTCCCTGCCTCAGCCCCGGTGCCTTAGCCCCGGCCGTGGCCCAAGCCCCAGGGCCCCGGGAGGGGGCCCCGGGGTCCCCTGGGAGGTCCCGCCTCCAGGGTCGGCGGCACCGGTCGTCAGGCAGACAGACAGACAGACAGACAGTCAGTCAGACAGACAAAGACAGGCCGAGAGACAGAGGCAGGCAGGCAGGCAGGCAGGCAGGCAGGCAGGCAGACAGACAGACAGACAGAGACAGGCAGAGACAGACAGACAGACAGACAGACAGACAGACAGACAGACAGACAGACAGACAGACAGACAGACAGTCACTGACAGACAGTCACTGACAGACAGACAGACAGACAGACAGGCAGACAGGCAGGCAGGCAGACAGACAGACAGACAGACAGACAGACAGGCAGAAAGACAGACAAACAGCACACACACACACACACGAAAACGTCATACACATGTCATTCCTCTTGTGAAACGACTGTCACCGTCCTGGACTATGTTCGCCACCGTTCTGTAGGCAAGGAGTGGAGTGCCCTCAGGCCTTTCACAGTCCTCAGCGTGGAGTATTGCCGATACTATTTGGCAAAGCCCCGGGTTCCGGGCGCTCTCCGGTGCTCCATGGGGCGGCTCGCGTGACGTTTCTGCAGGTCTCCGGAGCACGATTGGGCGTGCACATTTCCTGCGTGTCCTAAACTCGCCCCTCAGGGCCCGACCTGGGGCTCTCTTGGGGACCTCTTGGCCCGTCTTGGAGGTCCTGTGGGCTGACCCAACAGGCCAACATCATTGAAAAACCAGTTGTTGCTTTCACTTTGTTGACGTACTCTGCTTGTCGGTCTTTAGAGCGCCCAAGGCGACTCAAGAGACGGCCCCCGAAGCTCCCCCAAAAGCCCAAGAGCCCCTCAAGAGGGGCCCATGATGGAGAACTCGAACTGACATGTGGAGCCCCTTGTCCCCAAATGGAAACACTAAGTGCAAGCACGGTTTTTTGGGGAGTGTGTTGGTACGTGCATGAGCGTACATGTGGCCCTGTGAGCTGCAGATGCGTATGCATACATGCAAACATATATAAACCATGCGAGTTCTTTTCGGTTGGCGCGATGTTTAAGCGACGGACTTCAGACGATGTGTGGTGCCACAATCCACGCTCTGGACGACGGGGTGGGTCGCGGGTGGGTCGGGGTTGGGCCGCGGGTGGGACAACGACCACAACAACAAACATCACAACAACAATAATCCGCACCGCGGAAGCACGCTTCTGCCACGCACCTAGGGACGTGTAGGACCGTTCGCCCCCTCACTCTGGTATACACAGAAACATACGCCTTGTTTACCATTGTTGTTTGCTGCCTCGCTGTTTCGCTTCCAGACGTCTGCGAGAGGGTCTGGGAAACCTCCACCCGGCATCCAGGCAGTCATACATGTTCCCAACATTGCATCGACAACTCCCAGCTGGATGCCACATGGATCCAAGACGGCCCAGGATTGCCCCAAGACGGCCCTCAGTCTCCCCCACGCGGCCCCAAGACCTACCAACGCGGCCCCAGGACCCCCAGAGGAAAAGCTAGGATGGCCCCAACAGGGCCATAAAGAGGGCCTGCGAAGCAATCTACAGGGCCCCGCGATCCGCGAGATAGACAAAGCGCCGATGCTCGGTCATCCACGCACACTGTGTCCAAGCCATGCCCCCCGGCTCTCACCGATGGAAAGATTTGCGAGCTGGTTCCCCCCTCGGGGCCCGCCGAGACTCCGGCATTCCAAGCTCGCGAATTACTGCCCCCTGCAGTTGGCAATACCGTTATGGAATCGGCATCAGCATCAGCCCCATCACCATCACCATCACCACTATCATCACCACCATCGTCGTCGCCCTCGTCGCCCTCATCGCCCTCAATCTTATCACAATATTGTGATCACCATCGTCATCATCATCATCATCATCATCATCATCATCATCATCATCATCATTCTTCCCTCTTCTTCATTAGCATCCACGCCACTCTCCTTCCTGAAACCCTCAAGCTTGACACACACACACACACAAACACACACGCAAATCACAACATACCAAGAATAGATACACTCATGATGCCCAAAGAGAGGGCTCACCACACACCGAGGAAGCAATGCAACCGTAAGGATTCCACTCCGTTCTGTCCGCTCTCCCTCCCTCTGGCCTCCCTGCCCCTCCTGGGCATCACATCGCTTCCCGTCGTCCTCCTGCGCTCTGCCGCTCTCTGACAAGCCGTACAGCCCAGAACCTTTCAGGGGCCAGCGGCACGGCGTGGGCCTCTGGAGTCCGCCCGCCCCCCCGGGTCGAGGGGCGTGCGAAGCTGGACTGCGGGAGCCCGCTGGCAGGGCTTCGGGCCCCCCGGCCCCCCGCCCCCCTCCCGCACGGCAGGCCATCACCGCTCCGCCGCCCGCTGCGTGCCGTCCCCCTCTTTGTGGGGTGGCCCAGGACGGCCGGAAATCGGCAATCGAGACGAGCTCGAACTCCACGTCGTTCCCAGCATCCTTTTGGAACCGATCTCCCCTCCGGGCTCGTCTAACGCCTTTTTGGGTAATGTGCGAATTCCCACGCCGTTCTGGATGCGCTCTTGAGTAGATTCTTAAACGATTCGAAGCCCCACTGTGGCCCCGAAGCGGTGGCCAAACAGGCCCCTGCGAGGGCCCAGAATGGATGGAATTTGGTAGGGGCTCGGGCCCAGCATGGGGATGCTCGCGTGTGCCGTCTGAAAGACCTCCTGGCTCCTCCCCAGAGCCCGTCTTGCGCTCTTTTGCGGCCCTCTTCTTGGGCCGTCTCTTCTTGGGCCGTCTCTGGGAACCTTTCAACCGACTTGGGGCTCTTTTTGGCATCCTGCGGGGCTGTAATGGACTTCATTCGCCATGTATTTAGCCCGTCTTGGGACCATGTTCGGCTCGTCTGGCGAGACCTAGGTCGGACGGCAGTAAACGCGGAGCGTCTTGCGTCACATCGCCAACGGTCACACTTCTAGAAACGGCGACGGCAAGGGCGACAATGTCTTTCAGTGACGCCCGTTATAACTGGTGCACGGTGGACAGGCTCAAGCACTGTGGCGGCTAGCGGCTGGCGACTGCGTGCCCAGCTGCTGCGCGAGTATGGGGATGCTCGCGTGTGCCGTCTAAATGACCTCCTGGCTCCTCCCCCAAATCCTTCTTGCGCTCTTGTGCGGCCCTCTTCTTGGGCCGTCTCTGGGAACCTTTCAACCGACTTGGGGCTCTTTTTGGCACCCTGCGGGACTGTCTTGGACTTCATTCGCCATGTATTTAGCCCGTCTTGGGACCATGTTCGGCTCGTCTGGCAATAAGCGCGGAGCGTCTTGCGTCACATCGCCAACGGTCACACTTCTAGAAACGGCGACGGCAAGGGCGACAATGTCTTTCAATGACGCCCGTGGTAATCAGTGCCCGGTGGACAGGCGGAAGCACTGTGTCGGCTAGCGGCTAGCAACTGCGTGCCCAGCTGCGGGTGACTGCCAAACATGGAAGACACCTTCTAATTAGCGACAAGACCTTCAGTGCCAGACGCAGACACAAAAAACGTGCTGGACCGAGAAGGTTCAGCCGCCAGGTTTCGGCGCTGCAAGCGCCAGAGCTTTCGAGCGAGACTTCGGTGCCCGGGAGGATCGAGGATCGAGGATGAGGATCGAGGGGGATCGAGCATCGAGGATCGAGGAGGAGGCCCATCCCCCCACGTGCGCACGGGCACGCTGGGGCTGGAGCCTGCGCTGCTGAAAAAACAGGATCTCGGCCAGCGCGAAGAGTAGATCATTCTTGTGGCTCCGGTGGCGCCGACAGCGCCCGAGGCCCAGGCAGTCTGGCAGAGCGTCTCGACTGCTGCTCTCAAGTCGGGCCGGGCGACAGGGGGGGATAGCAGAGGGGGGGCTTGAGAATCAGCTCACGTCGCTGATTTTCCTGGCGCCTCCCAGCGCCGGAGGCGGCCATGTATCGAGGAACGGGCCCCTGGGTGGGGCTGAAACCAGCTGCACACAGCAGATTTCGTAGCCCCCCCTTTCCCTAATTATCCCCCCCTTTCGTTCGGCCCGATCCAGTGGCCGGCGCCAGTGGAAGAACAGGTTTCGACTCGCCATTCTTCGTCCTCCCGGGGCGCCCCTCGGGAGCGCGGTGCCCTCCGCTCTGCCGGCGGTGCACGTGCGCGGGCGAGGAGCTCGGCCGCTCGGGGCTCGACCGAAACAGAGGCTGTTCTGACATGTGCTTTGCTCATGCTGCGATTCCTTTATGCCATGGGTGCTCTTCTCCTTGTTCTTACCATCATTACTAATCTTAATGCTATTACTAGCGTCATTGTTGTTATTATTGTTACAGCTAGTATTCGGGAATTATGACTAGCACTATGTGCTTTAGGGCTCGCCCTGAACGCTGTGTTCCGCTTTCGTTCTGTGCTCGCTTCCCTAGAACTGCTTTAGGGCTCGACCTGAACACTGTGTCCGGCTTTCGTTCTGTGCTCGCTTTCCTCTCGAGCTGTCTTCGTTCCACCTCTGCCGCCAAATAGAAAGGGCAAAGCGAGAGCGGCCCACGACGCATCGCCCCACCATCCTCCGGCTGGAGCCCTGCGGCCGCTCTCCCGCGCGGGCGAGCAGCTCGGCTCCGGCCTCAGACTGCGACGTGCGGGGACGCCTCGGCGCCGGCACCGTCCTGCTCGGCGCCGGCCTGGCCGTCCTCCGGGCCCTCGTCAGGCCCGCCCGGCCCAGGCTGGTCGCCGAGCTGCACCCAGGCGTCGGGGCGGGGCTCCACGGCCAGGAGGCGCGCCTCCGAGAGCCACGCCAGAACGGCCTGCGAGAGGGGGCGATGAGCAGACACAGATCTCCCGAGGCTTCCCCCCCCCCCCCCCCGCATGTTCCCGTGTGTTCTGGACCTCCGTCGCCCCCTCCATCTCCAATGTCTTCCCCTCAGTATTAACTCCTGGAGGTTGACGTTCATATGGCCGATTCGGGAAAACCTGAAGCCAAAATTGTTTTCATCTCTTGGGGGCGCAATTTTTACTTCCGCCGCCCTTCCGCCGGCGGAGGCGGCCTCGTCTTACTTCCGCCGACCTTCCGCCGCGGAAGAGATGACAACTGGTTCGATCCTCGAAGGCAAGGCCCTTTTTGGAACGCCCCATGTGTGTGTGTGTGTGTGTGTGCGTGTGTGTGTGTGTGTGTGTGTGTGTGTGTGTGTGTGTGCGAATGCGAGTGCGAGTGCGAGTGCGTGTGTGCGTGTGTGCGTGTGTGCGTGTGTGCGTGTGTGCGTGTGTGCGTGTGTGCGTGTGTGCGTGTGTGCGTGTGTGCGTGTGTGCGTGTGTGTGTGTGTGTGTGTGTGTGTGTGTGTGTGTGTGTGTGTGTGTCTGTGTGTCTGTGTGTCTGTGTGTCTGTGTTTCTGTGTTCCTTTCTATCTCTCCTGACCTGTGCGCGGACGAGCAGGTCTGCCTCGGGGGCCTGCGGGCTCGCCTCCACGACGGCCCCCTCGCAGGTGCGCGCCACGAGGCGCGCGAGCTCCGCCCCCGTGCACTCCCCAGGCGCGCCCGGGGCCCCCTCCGCCAGCTGCTGCAGCGAGCCCTTGGTCGGGAAGCGGAAGCTCGGCTCGGCGACGACGGGCAGGACGGCGGCGTTCGCGTCCGCGGCGCGCCTCAGGGCGGTGGCCACGTGCGGGGAGGCGAAGACGCCGTTGCTGAGGACGAGGCAGACCTTCTCGGCGGAGCTGGGCAGGGCCGCGCCGAGCGGCAGCAGCTGGGGCACCTCCGCCGCCTTGCCCTGGACGGCGCGCGCCAGGAGGAGCTGCAGGACCAGGGCCGCGCACGCGCACTCCAGCGCCCCCATGTCTGCGACGATGAAGAAGCTGGAGGACCCGGATGGGTCGATCGTGCCCTTGTCGTCCTGGAGCGACACGGCTGCGTGCTCTCGCGTGAGCATCCCGACCAAGGACTGTATGGTACCGCTGGTGATGTGCGAGGGGAGTTTGACAGACTCCTGCCCAGGATTGGGCAACGATGCCTTGACCGTTTCCAGATTCAGACCGTACCGGGCCAGGTGAGTGACGCGTGGCATCTCAATATCGTACTTGTTGACGAAGTCCTCGGAGGGATACGCGAAATCTGGGAGGAGCACGTTGCAGACTGGCACCTTGTTCAGCTTTGCGGTGGTCATCTCGCCCACGCAGAACAGCTGGGAAACGATCTGCCTGGAGCACACCGTGACGAGCATGTCAACGTCAGACGCCACGGTGGCAAACAAGGCGCTCGGATCAATGTAGTCCGAATCGACACCGATCTCCTTCTTGGACTTCGTGTCCAACGACATCTTCAGGAGCCTGGTGAAGTTGCCGGCGCCGTCTTTGTGGTGGCAAAGGAAGAACTGCATGGGCTTCTCCATCCTCAAGATTTGCGCGAGCATGCCCCAAGCAATAGCGCAGAAGATGATAATAAAGGCGATGCAGCAAATGGCGGTGCAGAGCTGCGCGACGATCTCTGCGTCCACGTCCTCGCAGTAGAAGGCAAACAACGTCACGATCAGGCTCAGCAGCATGGTGCTGGAGCCGTCGATCAGATTCGCCAAGAAGGCGTTCCAGGGCATGAAATAGACCGTCACGACCAGAAGCGGAATCATGATGACCTGCAAGATCATGATCTGAAACATGGTGCTGCCGAGCGCTGGGACCACAGCAATTATAAGATTACGAAACAGGAATATTGCGATGTACGTGTGAGCACCCGTCCGAAAACGGAAGAATAGAAAGAGGAAAGACCTCAGGAACCGCTCGTCCCCAGCCGCCAAGCGCTTCTCCATCTGGAGGACCACGTAGACGACCGATGCAAAGAACGCAAGTGGGATCAGGGCACCGGTGGCGCTCACGCCCAGCATGATCGCATGACCATCCCCATACCAGAGGAACAAAACAACTGCATGATAATAAACTGTTGGAGGTCCGCGCGGATCCTTGGATCGGCACTGGACCCTCCTCCCTGGCGCGCGGAGCGCGCCAGGGGCGGCGCGAGCGGCGCCGCCGGGGGGTTCCAGCGCAGATCGAAGGAATTCGCGCGGACCTCACACAATTTTTAACTTTATGCCGCGGTTTCGTCTTCGACATACGCCGAATCGTAGCAGACGACCGAGGGGTAGTCGCGCACAGTCTGCAGCCCGTTCGGGTGCTTGGCGCACTGGAAAGGCGCGAGCATCGAGGCCATTATCGACATGAAGAAGGTGCTGAATACTGTGCCGATCGAACAGATGAGGGCGGGGTTGCGTTCTCGGAACGCTCCCCCGTGGTGGACGATGACCGCGATGGAGTGGATAACGAGCATCGAAAGGACGAAGGCAATGACCAGGAACACCCTCCCCGTGAACTTCGAGACTGGATCTACTGACGTGGCGCATTCCAGGGAGAGGTAGTCGAGGTTGAAGTTGAAGAGGGAGATGGTCACAAGAAACTCGGCGAAGGGACTTTTCCACTCCAGAGATATCGCGCCCATGATGCCCAGTTGCTGGACAAAGGTGAACAGCTGGCCCGCCACAGTTGCCACCAGGAGGAAGGACTTGCTGCGAGAGGCAGGGTCGGAGGATCCCAAAATGCGGTAGAGCACCATCATCGCCCCGCCCGCAACCACCAGGATCAACAAAATCGGCAGCACATGAATGCCTGAGCATTCCTGAGGGGGAACGTAAGGGGGCACTGGCTCAGAGGGGAAACGTCGTCTTCGAATCGGCGATGCATCACCGATGGATCGCCGATAGGCCCCCGATGGCAAATCCGGACGTTCCTGGGCTGGGTGGTTTCTGAGGCCCCTATCGGCATTGAACAGATCCGCCGACCCTGTCGGCGTGTGTGAGGGGCTTGTCCGTTCAAGTCGTCACCTCCGTCATTCGTTGGTCGTCGTCTCTGTCGTCCCCTTTCCCTGCCTCCCCCCTCTCCCTGGGCTCGTCGAAGCTCCCCCCTTTCCCAGGGACCTCCTCCGCGCGCCAGCCAAAGCAAAGTTGAGCAACGTCGTAAATGATTGAGTCGAAGGGGAGCCCCTTACTTCCCTTCGATCCCTCCCCCGCCGCGGGTGTGGGGGGGTCCCGCAGGGGAGGGGGGGGGTCACATACGACGCCTCCCTTGGAGCCCAGAAAAGCCCCAAGACGGGCCAAGAGTTGCCAAAGAGGCCTCAAAGACAGTCCAAGAGAACCCCGAAGCGCCGAATGATCTGTCCAAGACGCCTTGACGGCCTCCAGACGGCCCAAGAGGCATGCAACGCGCCCTAAGAGGCCTCCAGGAGCTTTCCCACGAGAGCCCCAAGAGGCAAATTCATTGATTTCCCATACGTTTTTGGAAGATTTTGGCGTTCTTGCCCCTTCCGCTTCCCGACGCGCCAAGACGGCCCAAGAGGTCCCCAAGATCGCCCCGAGACGGCCCAAGAGGCCCCCAAGAGGGCCCCCTAACGGCCGAAGAGGGCCCCAAGACGGCCCAAGACGCCTTCAAGACGGCCCAAGAGACCCCCAAGACGGCTCCAGGAGAGTGCCCAGACGGGGCCCCCGAACGGACATTTCGAGCTCTCAGCCCCAAGAGGCCCCCAAGAGGCCCCGAAGAAGCCCCAAGAGGCCCCAAGAGGCTCCCAAGGGCCCCCAAACTGCCCCAAGACAGCCCAGGAGAGCCCCAAATTGCCCAGGAGGCCTCCAAGAGTACTCGAGACGGCGCAAGAGGAGCCCTGGACGGCCCAAGACGGCCTCAAGAGAGCCCCAGGCTGAACCAAGAAAGCCTCTGGCCTCCTCCTCTTCCTCCTCCTCCTCCTCCTCCTCCTCCTTCTCCTCCTCCTCCTCTTTCTCCTCCTCCTCCTCCTCCTCCTCCTCCTCCTCCTCCTCCTCCTCCTCCTCCCCCTCTGCTCCCCCTCCTCCTGCTCTCCTCTGCCTCCTTCTCCTCCTCCTGCTTCTCCTCCACATCCTTCTCCCCCCTCCTCCTCCCTCATCCACCTCCTCCACCATTCCTCCACCTCCCACTCATGCTCCTCCCCCTGCCCCCCCCTCGTTTTCATCTTCGTCGTTATCAGGGTCGGCGGCACCGGCCGTAAGGCCTTCGCAATAGGCGATTAGGGGTCGATGCACCCTCTCCTGATCCTATCCACCCCTAACGTTGCCCCTGAAATCCTTGCACTCCCCCTGGTCGCTCGGTACCATCCCGTCATCGCAAACGGTGCATGCCACGCTGCTGGTCAGGCGACTCTCGGCGCACGTGCCAGGCGGGCCTCCGGGGCATCTGCGGTAGTCGGTGCCATAGCACCTCCACACGAAGCCGGGCTGGTCGGCGCTCGCAAAGTAGTCCGGCGCGATGATCACTTCGCCCATACCAGGGCACTCCATGCCCTCGCCGCACAGCTCACACTCCCCCTCCTTCTCATAGGCGCCAACCTTGCAGCCACACGCGGCGGCAGACTCGGCCCCGGTCGTTGGTATCCACTCGCTGGTGCCCGAGACCAGCACCTGGCTCTGTGTGGCGTAGAGGTCTGGGTTGACCTTGCCCGTGCTACAGCTGGTGCAGCTGGTGCTTCCGGTGGTATTGGTGTATGTGCCCACGGGGCAGTTCTCGCATTGGGCTCTTCCAGCTGCTCCTGCGTACGTGCCCGCTGGGCACGGCAACATCTCATCGGCCGCGAAGGGACAATAATGGCCAGGGTCGCACAGTATACACTCCGTCTGCATCTTCTTGCCAGTGTACGTCCCCTCGGGGCAATAACTGCACTTCGGAAGCTCGGTCGCCACGTCGAAAATCTGGTGCTGGCCAGCAGGGCATGGGTCACAAATTTCTACGCCGCCGACCGTCTTCGAGACTGAGCCAGGCGTACACGGAACTGGCGTCAGGCAGGCGCCTGAGGCATCTCTGGTGCACTGATAGACGGCCGTGAACTCCAGCTCAAAGCCCGCGTGCAAGCTCCCTGGCGGGTAGTCGTTGCTGTCGGTCACGAACCGGACCAAGACCTCGGCGCCGGCTATGAGGATGTCGGGACAGGTGCAGGTGCCCGAGCTCTCGCAGATGCCCCCGCGGCAGTCCGCGTCGCTCCCGCAGCCACTTATGTCTTCGCTGCAGGGCGGGCTCATCCCGCTCAGCGTGAAGCTCCCGCTCCCCTCCCCGAGGGTTAAGGAGTCCCCAGAGGTCTCCGCCGCCTCCATGTCGAACCTTTTGACTCTGAATGCTACTGCGCCCGCCGTCTCGTTCGCGCCCGAGGCCGGGGTGGTCACGAGCCAGGAGCAGCTGCGTGCCGGGGCGTAGGTCAGCTCGCTCGCCGCCATGTTGATGATAGTTCCAGTCGCCGTTGTCAAGTCCGTGGCAGAGCCCACGCACTGCTGCGACTGGCAGAACTGGCCGAACCATCCCTCGTTGCACTGGCAGCCGTGGCTTCCGCAGGTCCCGCGGCCAGTGCAATCCGCGGTGGCTCCGGTGCCGCAGAGCGCCTCGGCCAAGGCCACGGCGCGGTACTTGAGCTCAAAGCCCTCGCCACTCTGCATGGCGTCCGAGGTCCAGCGGACCGCCGCGGTGCTGGAGGAGGAGTGGAGGGCGAGCGGGCACATGGCCCCAGGGCACCTCTCGCCCACGTTGGCATTGAGCTTCGCGGGGGCGTAGCCGCTGAAACTTCCTATCTTTGTGCCCGTACGTGTGTCGCCATCGTAGAACTCGAGCGGGTCAAAGAGCCAGTCCAGGTCCAGTGTCACGAACTCGAAGAAGACGACTTTACCAGTGTCCGCCGTGATGATCCACGTGCAATTCGCATTATGCCCTGTCTGATACCCTGGAGCCCCGTGCACAATGGTTTGCTCCGTTTCCAACGCTGTCAGCCGACTGGTGCCCATGCACGAGCTGTGTGAGCAGTCAGCCCCTGCCCAGCCATCGACGCATTGGCAAACACCCCCCGAGCATGCACCCCCGTTCTGGCATGGCTCCTGGCACGAGCCGCTCGGCGCAAGCGCCCACGTCATGGAGAAGCCATCGTCCACGACGAGTGCCAGGGGCCGATCAGCAGTTCCGTCAGGCTTGAAGACCACCGTCGCCTGGCCGCTCGGCACTAGCACAGGTGGGCGCTGGCCGAGACTGTGCAGCGTGAGGGAGCTTGTCCCCTTCCCACCGGTGAACTTCGCGAGCAAGGGGAGGGCGTCGCAGTCTGTGCCAGAACAGAGGCCCTCGTAGATGTAGACATTGTCCTGGTCGCGCTCAATCCGAACGTCGATATCCGAAATGAGCACGGCGGCAGCCTGGTCGATCTGCCAATTCGCTGGCCCCCGCTTGCCAAGGGTGAAAAGGCGTGTGAGACATTTGGCAGTCCTTCTCCCGCTTTCCCCTCCCCCTGGGGTCCAAATCCCGTAAGAAGGAAAGGCGCTCCCCTGGGGATTGGGGTGCGAGCTCGTCAACGCACCTCGGGGGCTCCCGGAGCCTCCAAATCCAATCCACCCTCGGTGGCAGCCAAGATGCCCAAGATGCCTTCTAAGATGGCTCCACAAGGGCTCCAACACGCCAAAGAGGCCTCGAGAACATGAAAGGTGGGCTGCAGACGGCCAAAGACGCCCCCCAAACGCCCCAAGACCCAAGAAGGCATCAAGAGAATCCACGCGAGGGCCCAAGAAGCAAACATAACATACTTTCCCTTCCAGTTGATGTTTCAATCGTTGTCGCGTTCTCGCATTTCCGGGTGTATGAAAATTCAAAATGATTCGAGACGCCCCCAAGACGGCCCAAGAGGCCCCCAAGAGGGCCCAGACAAAATCCCAAGAGGGCCTTCTGACGGCCCAGGAGGCCGCCAAGAGGGCCAAACAGGCTCTCAAGAGGGCCTTAAAAGGGGCCCGAGACAGTGCCGAGAGACGGAATTCGCAGGGACCCTGGGAGCCCACGGCCAAAAGATGGCCCCCAAGACCCCCAAAGTGCCCCCAACAGGGCCCCAAATGGCCCCACAAAGCTTCCAGGACCGATGAAAAGGCTCCAAAAGGCCGCCCCTAGGCCTCCAAGGCCCCAGAGAAGCCTGGCAACAGACGCGCGGGAATGGGAAGACGCATCAGCAACAAGTATTCGACGC